GACCTGGCAGTAAACAATTACAGTAAAATAACTCACAAATTGTGGCAAAACACACTGCACTCACTCCTTCTGCCCTAGTGGAACTGGGAGCTGGTGGGGCTTGGGTGAAAAAGGAAGCATTAGAGCACAGGGAGTGGCTGGGCTGGTGGAGAGCCAGGGGTGAATTAGCCCAGGGCTGCATCCACCAGCTCCACAAAGACTTCCTCAATCATGGTGTGGGAAAGCACCTGCACTTGCCTCGGTGCTGACACCTGCCTAAATCCTCTCCTGCCTGTTGACTGGAGCCTCCTAGGACACCCCGAGAGGGGCTGCAGGTCAGGAGAGACCTTGTTTCTCCTCCTGTGGACTATACATGGTCTCTGTGACTCCATTCTTACCAAATCTAAAAGGAAGGTCAGGCTGCAATGGATAAACTCTCAAAAGAAATATTCAAATGTTTACTTGCTCTGGCAGAGAAAATTTCAGTGCAATAAAGTTGTCTCTTTTGGAAAAGGCTAAATTTTGCAGTCCTCACTCAGAAAATCCTGCTGGGTTTACTCAGACCCTATCACTCCAAATACACCATTAAGAAGAATTTAAAGATCACTAAGAAATGAAAATCTATTACTTGCAAACTGTTGCGTGATCTCAAATAGGGACAGCCATATCTCATATCCCCTCAAGCCGTTACAACTTGCTAAAGATACAAACCATCAGTTTTGTTAGTATAGTCCATGCTACTTCTCATATAGAAGGACTGATCTGCAATCGTGAGTTGGTATTTCCTACGTTGTCCTTGGCACACAGAGGAACATCTCCCAGCCTTTGAACTAATCAAGGAATTAAACATATTTGCCTATAAGCATATGTCTAAACTCTTCTTTACTCGACAAAATGCTAGCACGTGGTTAAATCCCACCATTATTGCTGGGACACTCTTTTTGCTAAGCTGTTTTAGTAAATAGCAGCAGAGCTCAGTGCTCATCTATATGCTTTGGATTTAGATTTAACACAAATCTCAGCTTCTCCTTTTCTTTTGTAACAAAGACAAAACCCTCTTTCATACCACGAGAAAGGCAGTCCTTTCTGTCCTAGGCGCTCTCAGAAACGGGCAAATCACCTGCACAAAAACAACCCTGCCAATGTCCTCTTTGAAGGACCCCACAGCACAGCAGGTCAAGGATTCAGTTCACACCATCCGATGGATCCTGTGTAACTGAGATAGCGGCTGCTAACGGAAGAGAGAACATCTTTCACGGGCTAGTAACACCGTTCAGTGTGGCAAGGAAAAACTAGTTCTTGTGTTTTACCTGTTACATTATTTTGGATACTCTTAAGTAGAGTTTTCCTTCAATACAACTCCTTAGGCAGCTGTATTTTCTATGAGCATCCCTTTGTTTCCTCCCTGCAACTGAGATAAGCTGTGTAATACCACCCGAGAGGCTGACTGTGGATCAGATAGGTATGAAGTTGCATGCATTGCCACAATAAATCACGTAAGTGCAAAGGACACTGCCCCAGGCATCCATAAAGATCTGCTTTTCTGCAAGCTCACATTGCCATTTCTACATAGTAGATAAGGGGTGAGGCATAAAAAGACACTGCATTCATATGCTATGTCTGGTGCACCAAACTGGGGCTTCTCAAGCATATTTGTGGTGCCTTTCCTGCCTTGCAGTTTAGAGAAAATGGAAGAAAATGTTAACAGGGACCAGAAAGCTCTCAGCCCTCGCAGCTGGTGACTGCACAGTGCTAGTTCCCCTTCCTCTGGGTGGCTGTTGCTCACTTTTGACAGGGAACATAACAGCCTTTGAAGTGCTGGCAAAGGATGTGGAGAATCACAGTGTATGTAGGACACAAGTACTACTACCTGGTCCCTCATGGAGGGCTCTTCATCATGTCAGGTTTACCTCTGGGGAGCAATCACACGGCACCTCAGCATCCTCATTTAGGATTAGGTACTTCGGGGGCCACATCCCAGGGTCCTTAGTGCTCCAGTCAGCTGAGCTACCTTAGGAAATTACTTGTAGGCACCGTGTCTTTTTGAGCACTATGGGAGAGAAGGGAATATCAGAGGGTATGTGACTTTCATTGAAACTAGCTTACGTATGCACTACAGACCCAGTGGGTTAATGGCTAGGGAATTTGTTATCCTCATACAAGTAGCCACCACATTCAGGGGAAGGATCCCTATCTGGACCGGGTTTGGATGACTCTAACACTGCAAAAGATAAGTAGTAAATAGAGTTCAGTAATGAGATATCTTTCAACACTCAGCTCAGGTCAGAATACAGCCTATGAACTTTGAATCTGATATTTGGTGAGAAACGTAATAACTTACATTTGTTTGCCAAGGTGATTGCTAGGAATTAACACACCTAGATGAGGAAACCTGCCTGGTGTGAATCACTCGAAACCAGGATGAAAGAAAGCAAAGCATTTCAAGCGATATTTGCTCCACCAGCTCTGAAATCATCATATTTTTCTCTCCCTCAAATGCAATTGACTGCAGTGAGCCTTGTTTTCCAATGTACTGAAAGCCTCCACAGCTCCTACAGAACACGACGTGGACTGTGGAGGCTTCAAAACTATGGCCCTTTCATACTGCCCACAATTCAGGTTTCACCTTTCCAGCCAGGGCTATCACATTCTTGCTCCTTCCCAGATTCCTCATAAGGAGCACAATGAATTCCCAGCTCATCTCTGTCCTTCCTGCGAGCAATTATTTAACATTATATTGCTGTTTCTATAGGCATTTAAATCTTTGCAGGGAAACTGAGCTCCAAAAGATCCTATACGGAAGCACTGTGATGGCAGGTAGTGGCATCACTTCTGAATAATGGCGGTTAACAAAACAACAACATACTGGAACTCTTCTATATACAGGAATTTTTCAGTTAAATTTGCAGTGGTATAACTAACTTTCCCATACGTCTTGGAGACAACCAACCCATGAATTCAGCTAGCATTGCCAGGCACCAGGCTTCAGCAAGGACTCATCCGTCTGGAGAACTTCTAGTAACAAGGTGAGGGCCAGAGGACAAGCAAGTTTCCTTGTGGTGTACGAAACAGAAAGCAATGCAGCAACGTAAAAGGGAGTGGACAAACTTGCTCTATGAAAAGCAGCTGCACAGTGAATTTTTGCATGAAGGTTGGCTACGAAGACAAGCACAGTCAACAGTGAACAAGATTTGTAAACAAAACACTCCCTAGTGGTATTCAATGCAGAGTGCTGGGCACAGTTCATCTGCCTGTACTAATCCATGCTTGCCGTGTAGCGTAAAGGGTGAAGCAGCAGCTCAGAACAACTCTGGAATACATGTGTTAACTGCCATCTGGGTCTTTTAGTGACGTACAACTTGAGGCATTCCCTCCTCCTTCTCTCTGCTGCTCAGCAGGTGTAACGGTTCCTCAGGGCAGTGATGCTTGCTATGAAATTCAAAGTCCTTCCTGTTGAACGGGAAGAGTAAGACTGATGTGGGCTGAACCACCCAGGAGATAGATTGTAGCTGGGGATCAAGGGCCACAAAACTGTGTCAACCTTCCACTCCCTCTCCACTCCCCACTAAAAATAGTCTCTTCTTCTGGTTTCATCACTAATGAAGGATGGATTGTACTGTCCAGGGTAGATGCATGAATGTCGAGATCCAGGCAAACCAGTGTAGGGAGGATAAAGTCCATTTCTTTCCAGTTCAGGATTTCTCAGTCCAGTTGGCTGTATTAGCAGAAAAAAAAAATAAAAAGGGTCTTATTTTCACAATCAGATCCTTCTTCAGTTACAGCCTTTCCACCTTTCCCAGCAGTTATTTCAGCAGCTAAGGAACACTGTGATTGCTAATGATCTCTATAACCTAGAATGATTTTTACTGTGGGAGTTATACATCACCTGAAGGGATTATTCTGATGCAATCTAGTTTCAGCATTTTGCCAATCAGCAGACTTGAAGTTTACCTGACTCCTCCAAGCACAGTCTAAGTGCACGGTTAATTTTTAATCCAAAAGCCGATGACCTCAGGTATTGAAATAACTCTAACGCAAAGGATATTGTCCAAGAGCTATCCTTAAAGAAAATGCTTCTAGAAAATCCAAATTAGTCTCTTGCTTTGAGTATTACCTGAGAGCAATTCTCTCCCCATTAACCATAGGTACGTACCATCTCAACACAGGCACTTGAATTACATGTGAAATACAGGGAAATACAAAGTGATTTGACCTTCCTTTCTCTTCCCTCACCTTACTTAAGTAAATCTCCTGGGGACACCTGGTTGAGGAACTTTGATATCAAAGAGCAAGACTGTACAATCCTTTTACCCAGCAAATAACATCAAGCCACTTGGTTTGATCCGTTACAGATCAGATCCATGCAAAGCCCTCATCACCTACTGCTTACAAAAAAAGTTCCCCTTTCTCGTTGCCAGTTAAAAAAAAAATAGAAAATGCATTTACATTTCCAAATCTCTCATTCTCACTGGAAGAAGGAAGGAGGATTATTTCCCTTCATGCTGTGCATGAACTGCATCAGGCACCAAGGGTTAACAGTTAAGCTATGGATAGATACCGAATAATACACATCTGTCATCTGCAACAGGTTCTTGGTGCTTCCATTCTCCTGCATCTCGATGGTCTCTCTGCCCCACTCCTGAGCCCGAGGGTTCTTTGGGTATTCAGCATATGGTGACATCTGGAAATCTCCACTTTTGAAAATGAGTTTACTTATGTCATTTTTACTCTTCCTGTTTATAAAAGAATGAAGGAAAGTGAAAACATACAACATACTCCGCTGTTGTGTATGCACTTCTGACATGATAGGAGATTTACTTTATGTTATGAACATTGTCTGGGAACAAAGATCACCTCAGAAGGGCTACAGTCCAATCTTCAACTCCACGGGAAAGTCAGATAAGAGGTCATGCTACTCAAGGCATTATCTGCTGGGATTTCAAATCTCCAAGGATGGAGATGGTATAACCTCTGGTGTCCTCCTGGCTCAAAACATGGGGGAATAAGCACACAGCACTGTGCCAGCCAAACCACTGGCACGTCTATGTTACTGATAAATCCAGCTGCTGACTTTAATCACAGAGCTTTGAAATCCTAGATCAAGGGGCTGGAACGAGGGAGAGAGATGGTGTTACTGCAAGACAGTCCTTTTCATGATACGTAAATCATGAAGCCTGTAGTCCAAAGCTACCTTCTTGTACAGGAACTGTGTATATACATGTATGTGTGCATCTGAGAGGGAGAGACACACACAGTGAGAGCACGTGCAGGACTTGTCCACAAAGGTAGTTAAAAACAGCCTTAAATACACTTAAACACCACTTGAGCAATGGCCAGTAAGCCCTCCTGTTGACTTAACTTCTCCTTTCTATGTAGCTTGGATTTTTGGAGACTGGTCCCTGGCTGTCTTACAGCTCTGAGTGGGAAGGACTCCTTTGCATCCTCACCCTTATAGGACATGATTGCCATGGGCATCCTTAGAAGACACCGAGTTGACTTTTTCAGCGTGATTGCTGGGGGAAAAAAACCAAATGCCTGAAATGAAAGCACAATGCAATACTGCAGTATCTCTGATTAACCCACTTGCTCAGCTATCCTATGTTTTCACGTTTTTCAATGTTTTGGACCTTCAGGGTTCACGTGTGATGCCATGCAAGCCAGCGGTGGCACCTACCGGCAGCAGGTGACGATCAGTGCTATGCCCATGATGAGCAGGAGTCCTCCTCCTGCAGCGGCGATCACCACAGTGATGAGCTGATATGCTACAGATGGGAAAAACGGAGACTCACTTAGAAACAGTGATGTGGTTGTAAACACTAAAGTAAATATGTCCTCATGCAAAGGGATTAACTGTTTATTTCTCATCCCTCCTCCCTCTGTAAGCAATATTGCCTTAAATTTACAAGTGAAATGCTGAAGGAGGAACAGGCTCTTGTTTCCCTAGGGGATGGATTCCCTTTACTGATAGACCAGAATAATTCCAAAAATATATCATGGATTCATCTCCAAATATCTTGCTTTAAGAGTGACTACTACGTGTCCTATCACAACAGCATATCCAGAGAAAGGAGATCTTTCCTTAGGAGATAACATTAAGTCAACTTTATCAAAGGTGGTCAACAAAATAATTTTCAACAGAAAATGAAGAAATAAAACCCCTGACAGGAGTAGTGTGTACCTGCTATATTTTAGACATAGTGATTTGCAATTACTTGCTTCAAATTTCCCACTTCTGACATTGTGGAAATGAAAAGACACTAGAGTTGGTACTTACGGTTTCCACAGTTGAATCCACCTAAACCAAACGGGCAGCTGGTAACAGAAAACAATGAGAGTTTCAGCGGCTTAGTTGTGCCCACAGGTCACCACAGCAGTATTAAGGACGGTGGGGTAATAGGAGGGCAAACCAGTGACCATACCTCACACAGGTCTCGTTTTCCAGCTTATATCCATCTTCGCAGGCTAAAACCACAGAGAAGAAAAGGGCCATGAGCACCGCGTAGTGGTTGGTGCAGGGCAGGCATCTCCCACGGCAGCCTCACCTCAGACCAACCTTGGGGACCCACAAGCCAGCCCGTGCTGCCGGCACCGCAACGCTCTCAAATGTGACACAGTACCTGCTCTGGTTTAGGCAAAAACCCCACACTTAAATTCACCTCCTGCTGCCTTTGACAGGACCATTTCAGGGCTTCCCGGCAGAGCTTGCCAAGAGCCTGGCACAAGGCGGGCACCAGGTAATGCAATTCCCAGCAGAAACCCTTCTTGTCCTAATGGGAACTCACCGCACATTCGCACTGCTTCCCATGGAACAGCTGCGTAAAAGCTCCACAAGTGCCTCCAGTTTTTGATTTGAAACTCCATTTGAACATTGCTACTTTAGCACTGATACACATTATTAACGACTTAAATGTTAGCATTGCAGCAAAATGTCATGCAAACACAGCACGGGTAACCCAAAGTGGTGTGTTATATTTTGTCTCGTGCCATTTTTTGTTCTTGTCTTTCAAATTCGGAGCTAAATCAAATTTTGAAATACATTTCACTATACAATACTTATTAAATTTACCAGGTCTAAATAACCCAGAAAACAGCTGTGTACAAAACACTGGTGAAAAACTGAAACCATTGCTTCAAAATAAAATAACTTCTGTGCGTATGGACAGCTATCTAATGACTGAATTATCTGAGAAAGTCATACTAGCCTTCTGCTAAGTAGCAAAGGTGATACTAAAAAAAATCATACAATTACAAGCTTCAAATTACTGAGAAGATCGCCACTTTCCTCAGCAACGGTTCCACCAGAGCTCCTGCAGAGCTGTTGTCTTTCACAGGGGCAGCGCAGGTGGTCGCTCAAAGACCTGAGCAGGAGTGATATGGATGGAGTCGCTTTGGGCAGAGGGACAAGCCAGGGCCAGCACATGCAGAAGCCCTTGGGGGTCTGTAAGACATCACCCAGGGGTCTGGAAAACCCCTGCAGGACACTCCACAGGAAATACAGCTAGATTGTTAAGTGAAAACAAAAATGCTCATTTTTTTTTTCCCTTTCAAGTACCATATGCTTAAAAAAACGGTGAGACAGCAGCAAACAAGCCCTCTTCTCCCTGCCTTGCTCTCTAATCATAGGGAGAACCAACCCGCAGCCAAAAGCTCGGGCACTCTCTAGCCCCAGCAAGTGCAAGGAAATCTGCAGGGAGAGGAGGGGGCTTCCAGCTGAAGTCCCAGGTAAGCTGCAGCAAAGCCCCCTCCTCCTCCTCCTCTGCTGCTCCCAGCACACCAGCCGCCTTTTCCCCTCCCTCCAGCACAGCCAGTGCTGCAGAAACACTTAGCACAGGAGGGAGGGAAGGAAGAAAAGAAGGACGAATGTATAACGTTGTCCATTAGGATGAGCTGGTAATATCACAGTAAACCAAAAGAGAGCACTAGGATTCTGGCTGGATTCAGAAGTTTATAGCTCTTCCAGTACCAATAACAAACGATATTGATGCCAGCAGGGAGTAATGTGACTGTGACCTCCTCCTCATAACACAGGTCACAGAACTTCCCTAAATCTAATTCCAGTTTCAAATCAAATATTTGAACCAGAGCTACATTTTAGAGAACCATCCAAGATTGATTTTAATATTTTCAGTGACAGACAATCAACCACAACCCTAGGTCAGATGCTCATAAAGTTAATTTCTCCAGCCATTAAAAACATTCACCTTCTTTCTGGTCCAAACTATCCCAGTGTCAAATTCCAACCTTTGGGTGTTTGCTTGCTGGGCTGGAAAAAGTTATACGACCACATTTCTCTGCCTGACCATCAAATCACTCCTTTGCCTTTTATAAAGCAAAGTGCACTGAGATCTTTGAGTCCCTTTTTTCTTTTTCTGATCACTCACAGGTTCTCGTTGACCCTTTTGATTTCTGGTTTCCAGAAACAGATACCACAAGTCTAGGGACAACAAAACTTCCCCTTTTCTGACTGCCCGTGCCCACTAAATCCACCCAGGGACCACATTAGCCTTACAAGCCAGAGCTGGGGACCTCGTTGTTACCCACCAGACCCCTCTCACAGCTCTGCCCAAGTCTCTGCTTTCAAGGAGACACAACCCATGGTGTGCCTGGCACTCTGCTCTTGGACGCCCAGCCTCGCTCGTGGTTGTATGGACGTACTGCTTGCCTACATACCATTTACTAGGCATCTCATGTCACCCAGCAGGCCATTTTTGGGCACGTGGGGTATGTGCACGCAGATGAGCGATGTGCTCGCATCATAAATATTGCAGGTCTGGGCATAGACTTGATGTAGTAACTGGCATTAATTATGATGGGGAGGGGAAATGTCCACAATAGCTGGTCTTGCACACCTTTCTCTGCCTCGCTGCTCCTCCACCACCCCTTTCACTTCATTTATTTCCCCAGAGCTGGGGATGAGGAGTGTGAGGCTCTTTATGTAGCTCTCCTGCTGCATCCTCATCAGGACTCATTTTTCTCTCTCCAAGATGGTTTCTTTGAAGTCAAGGACGAGACCAGACATAACCGGACAAGAGTTAAGAGCCTCAGTCAACAAACAGCCAGGGCAAGACTAGTAAATCCCAAAGGATCCTTGCCTGGCCTATTCGTAACACCAAAGAATTAGCAAAATGAGACCGATGGTGTTGCTCCTTTCAGTCGCTAACAAGAGCAGACCCAAAACATTATTGAGCAAATGTTTTACCAAAGCGAGCCACAAGAAATCGGCAGTGAAGGGGAGGGAGGCACCACCCTGACAGCTCGCTGGAGTTGCCTTCTCTACGAGCGCAGCAGGCCTGTGTACCCCAGCCTCAGCCCCAGCTGGGAGGAGCCTGCAGAGCCCAGTCTGATGGCACCCCCTCAGCCCCTGCCTGATAACGTGTGCAGGACACAAACTCTTCGAGTGGTCTCAAAGCTGGAGCTGTGCCTTGGGCAGGAGCAGCCCTGGGACCCCATCGGCACACAGCTCTCGGGCCAGGAGGCTACAGGGGCAGTAAAGAGGAAGAGCAGGATCCTGGACATATATCTCATTAACGTATATAAATATCTGAGGGGTAGGTGTCAAGAGGAAGGGGACAATCTCTTCTTAGTGCTGTCCAGCAATAGAACAAGAAATAATGGGTGTAAGTTATAACATAGGAAGTTCCACCTCAATATGAGGAGAAACTTCTTTACTGTGAGGGTGACAGAGCCCTGGCACAGGCTGCCCAGGAAGGTTGCAGAGTCTCCTTCTCTGGAGATTTTCAAAACCCACCTGAATACATTCCTGTGTGACCTGCTCTGGGTGATCCTGCTCTGACAGGGGGGTTGGACTAGATGATCTCTAGAGGTCCCTTCCAACCCCGAACATTCTATGATTCTACGATCTCTCTGTCTCACCTAAGCACTCAGTGCTTACATCTTTTCCTCTCCTCACCCTGCCTTTTCCTGTCACCTTGCTTTCTTCCTCTGGCATCTTTCCTGCTCCTTTGAATGTTCTCCCAGGAGAGCTTTCAGACATGAGCAGGGAATGGAGGAAAGGCTTAAGTGTCAGGGGCCAAGCAAAGCTATCAAGTTTTGCTTTTCTACTTGGAATTTCTTTGCCTTTTCCTTACCAAAAGAGACTCAGGGGTCTCTTTGAAAACCTGCTTTGTTGCTCCTTGCTTCGCTGCAGAAATGCTCTGTACTATTAAAAATACCAGGCTCTTGTACAGCACATTGGATTTGTCATCTTGTTTCTAAAACAGCCCTGAAGATAGGTTGAAAGGAAAGGTTGAAAACCAGCAAGGATCCAGAGAGAACCAGGTCAGTACCACTGCCAAAACGTTGAAACTCTTGTGGCTTAGAGATGTAACTATTCTTGGGTCCAGGGGATGCTTTTTCAAGCACGTCCCAGGGGACAGACACCACAAGGCAGGACAGAACAATCCCTGGGGGTCAGGGCAGCTGATCTCCCATGCCCTAGAAGCTCTCCCAGCCATATTCACCTTCCCACAGAGTGATCGGACAGGGCAGCACAATAGCCATTTCCCTCTTTGCAAATACTATAATTGAGTTACTGTACCATATTTTCACAATCCACAATGAGGGTTGGATGTTCAAGAGACCTCAGTTCCTGTTTAGTCACTAAGAGGGCAGAAATGTTCAAAGAGGCTGCATTATTGTATGCTATATTTACCAGAAAATAGCCCTAAATATCAAATGAGGGCTGTTCCTCGGTTTTGAAAAAAACTTTAAAAATCCCTACTGCCTGGCCTACCCAGCTGGGAACAAAGTGATGCTGAAAACCTGGCACCTCGCTGGAACATGGCACCATGCAGCCGGTGCTACCCTCACGCCACTGCTCTGCAGCCTAAATCCCACACCAACCCTGTCCTTCAGACACTCAGTAAGTGCTTCTTACTGACAGCAGTGAGCAGTCAGTGCTCAGTAATATGCTTCCTACTGACAGCAGCAAGCTGAAAGTAGAATTGAGGCCTCCTTGTGTGTAGAGAGAGTTTTTTATATTTTGTACAGCAAACAAGACCCACAAGTTGTACATGTACAAGATGTTAGATCTCTTAACCCTCTGCAAACCATTGCATCTGAGTATCTCACAGCCCTTCAGGTATTTTTCTTCGTAACACTGCTTGGCAAGAGACACAGATGAGAAAAGTGGAGTAACTTGCTCTGGATCCCCACCATTGATGATGGAGCAAGAATTGGGCAAAAGCCTCCCAGGTTTCAGCTCAGCTGCTCACTCACTACTAAAGACCTTCTCTGCCTCTCAGGAGTCAGTAGAGATGGTCAGTATTTCCTAATTTAAATCCTTCCCCCAAGATGAAGGGAGAGAAGGAAAATACAATGGGAAAAAGTTTCGCTTGGAGACACAGAGTGGAGGAGAAGCAGGACCATGACCTGGTGCTCCGAGATGCCCATCTCAGAGCCTGCAATACCTGAGTTATTTCCAGGCACATTTTTTCTCACTCTCTCTCCGATTAGATTTTGAATTGACAAATCATCTCCTCCTATTTCAGCAGCAAGACACTGCCAGAAGCAATATATAGCCACTACTGCAACTCTTATTGATATGTCATCAGAAAACTGAATTTCTTAAGAAGCCCTACAACAACTGCTGGAACTAGGGAACGGACACCCTGATCCTATAAGAAGTCATTCTGACCACTGGCACACAGACAAAGTCCTTGTTTAAAATACAGCAAAATCAGCAAAAATCATTTCATGATCTGAGGATTAGCTAAAAAATAATCTAACCCTTAAGCTTAAAATTTCTACTGGGAAACGAGCTGTAACATAAATTCGTAATCATTTTCAGATACTTATTTTAAAAACACTGATGATGTATTAATATAAGTTTGTGAGTTTAAAGCGCTTCTAAGTTTGCTGAGAGTTCGCACAAAATCAAAACAGGAGCAGACGCACGTCATCCCTGCTCTGTGCCACTGAACTGGAGCCCAAAGCTGTCAGGCCCTTCTCTCCCCCTTCTCAATCACTGTGACTCACAGCGTGCCTCAGAAAGAGATAATATTATTCCTAGAGAGAGAGACTGTATCTTCAGTGTCTGCTGAAAAGTCCCCTAACTAAATAAAAGAAACTTGAGCTGCTAATATTTATGCATAACACTGAGCTTCTTGCATGCACAGTGATACACACACACTCATTTCCACTGGAACGAAATGTTTAAGCAGAAATCCAGGCAAAAAACACCACGTAAAGAACAATACCTCTGCAGGAGTGGTCCATCTTGTTGTATTTGAAGTATCCGCTTTTGCACTGGCAGAGCGCGACTCCATCGAAGTCGGTGCATTCAGAAGTTTCCTTGTCACACTCGGGGTCCTTCTGCTTGCACAAGCTGCCAACTGGGGGGAGAGGCGGCCAACATCAGCGCGGTTCTCTCTGAACCCACCGTTACGCGTATTTGTTTCCCCAGGCATCACATTCGGTTCTTTCCTTTTAAAATAATATTTGTTCCAGTAGGAGACAGTCAGCATTACACTATGTCACCACTTCTTGAGTACCTACCGTCATTTGTACAGGCAAACAGAGGGGGAGAATAATAGATGTTCCAGCTCAGAGGCAGAAGGGGAAATGAAAAAGAAAAATTTGGTTTGGCTCAAGCTGAAACACGTTCACCCCTTGAGACAGTTCAACAAATCAATTTCTAAGTTTATATCGAGCAAAATATTTTGCTCAGCCCCCAAAAATCTTTTTCCATTTCAGTATTAAGCACGATATTTTTTCATTTTTCAAACAAAGAATTTGTACTTTCATTTACATTACTTTGAAGCAGTGTTTTACTTTAGAAAGCCAGATTTGTTACAATGAGCATTCAGCAAAACTGTGGCTAAATGATGGAAATTGTGTCACCAAATTTACATTTACGTTTTTTTTCTGGGAGGTCAGACTAAATGGAATGAACAAATGAAAAAGTATTCTTGAGAAATAGGATTTTATGGAAACCGTATCACTCATTTGGCAATCACATTTTATAAACCTCTCCTTGCCAGATTCATAATTTCTTTTTTTTTTAATCTGACATATTTTCTTTTAAGTACTTAGACAACAACGTAATTTGTTTCTTATTCCTTTTACTTCAGATTAGAAGTAGACTTTACCAGAAGCATTGTATCGGAGGTAATGGCTAGACATAATCTGAGCGGGTCTACCAAATAATTTAATTCAATCCATGGCAGAGCGTGGGCTTTAAAATGTGGCATGTTAAAAAAAAAGCACACGCTAAATTTCTCATCTTCATGTTTACATTGCCAAAATGATCTGAAGGGTTTCCCACTACACCCACGTTAATTGCTGCCGCCCTTCGTCCCCAAGGCCAAATCTCGAAGTCTCAAACCCCAAAGCCACAGAAGTTTCCTTGCAGGAGCCCACCTTTCAAGGGTGCTCACTCCCTGCATCCTGCCGGTACCTCCCACAGCTAAACCTCCCCTACCGCTCCCTAAGCGAGGGCCGGGAGATGCAGGGCAGAGGGCCAGCACCACCGACGGGTCCACCTGGAGAAGGTCCCACACAATGCTGATGTGGTTCTTCAGGTCTCTCTGTGCTGTACCCAAGTTCCTTTTTCGCGGGCAGAGGATTCAGTGCAGAAATGAAAAGCTCTTTACTGTGAGCCATTTTTACATCTTGTAACACTGAAATCGGGCAGGCGGGAGAGAGGAGCTCCCCACATAGCCTCCTGTGGCTCTAAACGACCTCACTGGGTGGTTTTTGTCTCTTGGCTTTCACACCGGCTCCCCGGCTCCCAGTTGTGTGGGTGGAATTAAGACTTAGGGTTTTTTGATCTGGCCAGGGCCCGGTGTCACATCCCGGAGATGAAAGGCTGCCCTACAATGCCTTTAATCCTGTGATGCACAATGTTTTCAGAGAGTCAGATTTCTCACACATGTGGTGGAGATAAGGCTCAGTATCTGCGTCCCTTTTGTACTGTGAGGCTCTTGACTCCCATTTAAATAGGATAAAAAAGATTTAGAGGGGGTTTTCTAAACATCAAAATCTTTCTCCTCCTGTTATAAAAGAAGCCAAATAAAACATCCCTTTCCCCTCCTGCCGCAGTCCCTCCAGATGCTCTTTACCTCTGTGGAGTGGTTTCAGGCTCGACATGAACTGACAGGCTTCGGTGGGGGATTTGCAAGCTCGAATGTAACTTTTCACACTGCTGATAACGTCATAGAAAGTCACGTTGGATGCTAAAGAGAACGTGGATTGCACTGAAACATGCACAAAATTTGCCTCCCTAACAGAAAACAAAACAAAACAGCCCTGAGTACCACAGGTCAGTCTGATGTCATCATTAGCACCTTATATATAGTACTCTTATTAATGTACATTATACGTAGGACTCTTATTAATGTAAGCGATGCTTATTACAGACAAAATATTGCATAAATACTGAAACAGTCAAGCTTTGGAACAGACATTAAAAACAGGACAAACACACAGAGAGGTAAATTTGGGGCTAGAAGGGGTGCTGGTAGTTCACTTTGAAACCAGCCATTAACCCCTTGTGGGCAGCTCACAAGCCTGCCCCCAAGCCACTCAGGCCAGGAGGAGGGTACCAGGAGAGCCGAGCAAGGTGGCCAGGAATTCCCCATGTCCTGTGCTGCCATTGGACTGGACTGTTACCCAGCTCAGCACTGACTCAAAACAGAGAACGTAGATCTCAAGTTGAACATCCCGAATATTTGAGTTTATCATTCAAGCCTTACCTGGTGGCCTTAACTGTGGAGTGGTGGTACCCTGGCAAGCCCGACAGCGACGCGTTGAGCTGCAAAGGAAGCAGAGAGTAGCCACTAGTGCCCCAGGGGATGATGGAGGGAGGTAGCCCAGCACACAGGATGGTCCTCCTAGGTCACCAGCTCCCTCCCCAGCATTCACCACAGCTGCCTGTTGAGGGCGAGGGGGCTCTGCAACCCGGCAGCTCATCTGCTCCACTAGAAAGACGTGCTGTCCTGTTGCCAGCAAGGGACATCTGAATTCACCACTGAGCAGCCTTGGACCGGAACGAAGACCTGAGGATTTTGATGTGAGCGCTTGCCTGACGCCCCACTGTGCAACAACCACAAAGGCTGAGGACGAGCCAGAAGCCAGCAGTGAGAGAGTCCCGTGTGGGGCTGAGCTCAAAGCAATGCTCTCAGAGGCTGCACACCCTCCAAGGAGCCTCTTTCTCCCTCGATCCACACAGCTGTTTGTTTGTTCCCAGTACAAGCTGTGCAGGCAGCATCAAGGCAACACACACTGGCTGCCCCTTCCCTTGGCAGCATCTCCAGATCACCTGCTCCAAAAAGAGTTGGGATGAACTGCAGCCAGTCCAGGAACGGCTTACAGTATGAAGGCATGCAGGCAACGATCTGGCAAAAAAAATAAATAAATGGGGTCTTTTTGGAGCAATTGATGGCACAGCGTATGGTGAAGCCACCAGCTCACCCAGTGCTTGCTCTCAACTGACCGAGAGCTACACGGTTGCAATAGCATGGCGGAGAAACTCCACCAAAAGGAAGGTATGTCTGGGTGAGTGTGCTGGGCTTCATCCCATGGGGTTTGGCTAAGAGCAAGGGGGCACCAGCTGCAGTCCAACCTGCCCCAGCACCTGTGAGATTTACTGATGAACGATGAAACCCAGAGTTACTGTTTTAACGTTTGACCTTGGAGGAGCCCTAATGCCCTTTTGAGCTCTGAAAAAAGCAATGCAGGCAGAAGACACTTAGAAAGAAAGGAGGCTACAGAAGTGTGAACACAGCCACAACACAAAAAGGGCTTCAGGATTTACTGGGCAGATGTGCTACCCTAAGTCTCAAACAGACTAATCTCTCTGCTACTGTCTTGACAGGCTGGGCAACGCAGGGGAGAGAAGTGTGCTGGGATTTAAAAGTGTACATCTCACCATCCTACTTACAGCAGACCAGGATGGTCTAAATCCACACTACAGAGTCTCGTGGCTTTCCACGACAACCGTAAGAGGAGCAAAGGGGACCTGTCCCATCAGCGTTCCCAAAGTGCCAGCAATGACACTCACCATCGCCAGGATTTCACCCTCAACGTGGAGGAGCTCTGCGTACTTCCCATGGGTCATGTTAATTTTCAGGGGGACCTGGCCAATAAATATTCTTACTAAAAAGAAGAATAAGACAAGTTAATCAGAATATGTCTCCGTGCCATGTGTAGATGCAGTTTCATCTATCTTACACAACAGAACTGTCTGCAAGGAAAACCCTTTCACGCAGCAGACAGAAAATTCACATCTGAGAGTCACTGCCCCAGTAGAGTTCCAGCTGTGGGATTTTTCCCAAGGTTTACTGTGATGTTCCTACAGCCCCAGTCACATTTTGGAGCCCAAGGCTGCTGAACAGCCAGCATTTCACCACAGCCTTCATACATTTTGTACAGAAACAGACTAATTTAAAAGGATCCCTGAACACACAGAGGGATGGGTAAATTTAGTAGCAAGAGAGTTTCAGGTACCAAAGCTATTTAAAATAATTTGGAGTAAATTCTCAAATCTCTTACTCTTCCCTGCGATGAAAGGAAAGCAGCCCAAAAAGTCAAATTAAAGCACTGTTGAAAGGATATTTTCATTTTTCAAATTGCTGGACAGAATGAGCAACGACATTTGAAAAGAGGTCCAAAAGATGCATTTTTCTGTGCTTAGATTCATATTTGATTCACGGCAGCAGAATGCAATAATCCGAGTTGTCCAGACTTGGAGAGATAATATCCCTAAATCTTGTATTAAGTGTCATGAGATACTCAGCGAAAATGAGAACTCAGAGCTCCAGTTTCATGTTCTACCAGAAAAACAAATACGGTTGCAGATAACATTATAAAGCCTCCAATTCTTTCTCATTTTTTCCCATCCACAGAGCCTATCTTCACCACAAATTTTATATCAGACAGCTCTAATGTAACAACTCTGGGTAAAAATGAGATGAGAATCACCTTCACAGTATTTATATAATCTGCCCGTAAGCAAGTTCAAGGCATAATCAAAACAACTCTCTAAATTAGAAGCTGACACATTCCAACTCGAAGAAATGTTTCAAAACACTCTTCAGGGACACCTCACCCATGTTTCCTTAGCAAAATTTCCATGCTTCTAATCCTCGCTGATTAAGGGTCAGAAGAAACTCCAGCAAAACAAATTCCCCTTTACAATGAGACATTGTAAATCCTTGAGATTGAGAGTCCTCTGACAGAAAGGAGGGGGTCAGAATCTGAGCTCCAACTAATAACTGTGCTGCTAAAGGTATGAAACAAGACCTTGATCTTACAAAGACTTTCACGGCTGCTTAATTTTCCGCACATGGCTGATCCCACTGAAGCCAGGTTACACAATAGCCCCACTCACTTCTCCATCGCTCAGGTTTGCAGGCCTGGGAGCTACACGATAAGCTGCTAAATGCTTTTTGAGGGTTTTAAAACACATTAGGAACAGAAGGGGCACATCTGATCGTACCAACAAGCCTGAGGTCACCGCTCTGTTGCTGAGTTTTTAGGAAGCCCTCAGCTATCACTGCGCCTGTTCCCCGAGGCAGCCCAACACACCAGGTATTAGATGCTGCACTTGTACAAACAGCCAAAGGCTCTCACTAAAAGTGGTGGTTGGGAGGAACATTAAGCTCCTGAACTAGTCTGAGCCTAGGTTAATTTATTGTAGAAGATTACAGACAATTATTTCCATCTTTTTTCTCCCCTTTTTTAACTTTTATTTTCTTACCTAAATTGCACTTTCCTTTTTCCAGCTCGTATCCAAGAGGACACTGACAGATATAGGAGCCATGGGTGTTGTTGCAGGTGGCCAATGCAGGACACGGGTTGGAAAGACATTTATCCACATCTACAAACGCAGAAAAAACCACAGGCTATAGTTACAGAATCACAAAAGTCCTCAGCTGCTGGGCTAAAGAAGATCAACTTGGCTCGTCTTCTGTGGTCCCCTGAGCATTCTCAGATGCTCCACTGCATCAGTTGCACTTACCGTTTATCCTGCCCTTAATTATTCTGCTTGAGCTGAAAGAATAAATACAAATCACTTTCTCCTGAATATGCATTCAAAGCTCTTGGGATCCAGTGTTGATCCATGTTTACATGAACATCCAGCTTGTCTACAGAACTGCTCATCTGCAGATCTCAGGGTGCTTTTCACAGACAAACAACCCTACAGTTAAAAATGGAGAAAACATAGAAGGGACCTCAAGAGCCAGAGCTAGACATGGAAGCAGGGGCTCCTTCACTAGTCCTGCCTTTGTCATCCAAGCCCATTTCCATGATCCAAAGCTAGTGCTTGAACACTGATGCAGGCTGGAGATTACCCAGGAACGGTGGAGGCAGCCCTGGCTGCCGTCACCTCCTCTACCGGGGCTGCAGCCTCCTGCCAGGCAGGGGATGGTCCCAGCAGCGACATCTGCCTGTGCCACCGCTCGTAGTGCAGTTCCTGCTGGGCGAGCAGACACCAGCTGTGAAATATGGAGCATCAGGGGATTAATGACTGTAGACTCAGACACTTCACAGACTAGCCGACTCAAACTGCAAATTCTGGAGAAGATATCCAATATTTCCCTTTGAAAAAAACCATACCCTAGTCAAAAATGCTCCTCTTGCTGGGCACGTGACTCACACGAGCACAAACAAACACGTGTCCCAGACACATGCAAGGGCAGGCTGCAGGCAGGACCGCGGACTTGTCGGTGACAAGGCACTAAAAGACAGCTTACACACCACTAGGACCTATTCTGTAGCTGCTGTTGAGCACTGCAGCAGGGGCAGGAGGATGGGCTTTGTGGTTAAAGCACAAAGCACAAGAGCAAAGTCCATCTCTGTATTTCTGACAGCACAGCGATAATCTCTGGCATCAGGCAGGCCCTGCAGACCAGACAGTGCCGAGTCGACCTCCGCATCGGGACACACCACTAGACCCAATGTCCCTGTCTCAACCAGCCTGGCATGGCTACCTCAGCATCAGCGAGAAGGAGGTTTGGTGTCTCTGACCTAAGCAGCCAGAAGTGAGTGGGCAGATTTTAAAACGTCAGCTTTCACTTTGCTGTCCTTCATTTTGCACAGTACTGTCCTGCCCTTTGTACACAAGGGATCACGGCAGCTTCTTCTCTCATGGTAGTGAGTGTCCATGTACAAAACCATGTCCAAGGCAGCAGAAGGATCTTTCGCATTCTGGTAAATAGCAAAACTCGGTATTTAAAGGAAAGCGTAACTGGGCAAAAAGTGTGAATCAGCTGGTAAAAAGGATAGGCTACCTTAATTTTTCAATTGAAAAAAATCCATTTCCCTACGGTGAATTTTTCTGTATGAAGCTATGGCTATAATTAAAACCAATCAGTCTGAGAAATAACCTTTAAATACTTAATTATTGGATGGAATATATATACTATTGCCAGCATTTCACTGAGATTAATGCAGTAGGCACACACAATACCCTACAGTGGCATGAGGACCAGGGTCCTGAACTTGAAACACACAATTGATTTGATTCATTAAAAAACCTCAGTCAATGTATTTACTTGAGAAATTAAGGAGCCTGGCAACTGTAATAAATGACTGTAACAACACACTCAGCAAGACTACAGCACTCAGACTATGAGGAGATGCAACAAGCCCTTGAGGAGGAGATTATTTAGTGAGGTTGGGAGAAAACAGCCATAGGTCATAATAATAGAAAAAGTTCCAACACAAATATCAAGAGCTGGTCAATTGCTGCTTCTCATTGATAGATATTGTTGACCAACCAACAAATACAAAATACATCCTATGCTTCCCTGGAAGGCCAGTCACCCTTATTTCCTTAAAAATCTCAAATTGCAGCTTAACGTCAGGTGTTATCACTGTTAGCAGCAGGCACTGTCTGCAAAAACATGCTGCTAACTTCACAACGTGCAGCCTCTAAGAAGACACTAAACTGGAAAGTAAAAATCACTAAACAGAACTGGGATTTTAGCTAAATGCAGGACAGCTTAAAAGCACCAACATGGAGATCAAGTTCTTAAACTCTGCTGACAACAGACTTGTTATCCACCCATCCATACACAGAATCATAGAATATGTTGGGCTGGAAGGGAACTTTAAAGGTCATAGGTCATCTAGTCCATCCCGTCTGCAGTGAGCAGGGACACCTTTCACTAGATCAGGTTTCTCAGAGCTCCATCAAGCCTGATCTTGAATGCCTCTAGAGATGGAGCCTCCACCACCTCTCTGGGCAACCTGTGCCAGTGTTTCACTGCCCTCATGATACAGAGCTTCTTCCTAACGTCTAAACTAAATCTACCCTGCTCTAGTTTAAAACCATTGCCCCTAGTCCTATTGCTACATGTCCTTATAACCAGTCGCTCACCAGCTTTTCTGCAGTCCCTTCAGGTACTGGAAGGCCCCTATAAGGTCTCCCCAGAGCCTTCTCTTCTCCCGGCTGAACAACTCCAACTCTCTCACAACCCACTGAAGACCCTTAAAGCGGACCCAGGTGTTTCTGACCCCCTCGCCCCAGGCCTCACCACTGATGAATGCCATTAGACACATTACCTGTTGCTGGAGATGACAGCCTCAGCCCAACTGTGCTACTCGATGGAAGAACGGTGGTTGGTTTGGTGGCAGCCAAAGTAGTTGCAATGCTCACTGTGGTCTTGCTGGTTGGAGGGGCTTCAGAAGGACTCGTAACAGGGATGTTTTCCTCTGTGACTTTACCAGGCCTTGCAGTGGTGGGATCCACAGCTTCTGTGCTTTTACCAGTGGTATACATGTGCTTGGTAGCAGCAGGTGTTGGAGCTCTGTGGGCCTGCATGGTGCTAGCATCACCGGGGGTTGGCAAGTGACTGGACGGTGTTGTCAGCACAGCGGGTTCCACTGTGGTCAGTGCCACCACGGGGACAACGACACTGTGGTTTGTTGCACTTGGTGAGGAACTAAGGGGTGCATCTGTCGGCCCAGCCTGTGAGGCATCGCTGGCCGTGGTGAGCAGCGGCATTGCCTTCCCAAAGCTGCTCCTCTGGGTGGTCCTCTGGGTCTCCGTTACTGTCACAGGAGTGGACATGGACACGACATGTCCACCAAGCTGCTCCATGGGCCCTGCAGGGAAAGGGGACCCAGTGGAAGTAAAGGTGGTGCTGATTTGAGGCTGATGCGTGACATTGTGCTTGTTGGTCCCTCTGGGCGAGCTCCCAGCCACGGCAGCTGTGGAAGGCACCCGCCTGACCACAGTCGTAGCGACAGAGGTGCTCGCTTGATCACTGTCCTTGGACTGCACAACGGACGATGGGGATGAAAACAGAGGCAATAAAGACGCTAATGAATAAGATGGGGAAAGCAATGAGGAATTGGGCATGGAGGTCGACAAAGCCTGCAGAGGGGGTGAAGATGCCATCACAGAGGATGAGAGTGGCTCAGGTGATTCTGATGATGCAAACAGGTAAGTTGGTGGTGGTGTTGACAGCAGTGAGTGATGCAGTGATGACAGTGAGGAAGAGGCTGGAAATGCTGATGAAGACAGAGATGATCTGTGAGTGGTCAACAACTCAGAGTCTGTGCTGAAGAGAGCTGTATTTTGTACGCTGCCTGCAGAAGCAGAAGTCACCAGTTTGGAAGAGTGCACCAGCAGCGGCTCTGTAGATGGTTCAACAAAACCACCATCACTGGATACGTTGCTCCTCCTGTCCTGTGCCACAGAAGATTTTGATGAATCAGAAGGGCTGGAAATTTCAGAGAAAAAGGTGGAACTCTCTGAGGAGTCAGCAGAGGTGCTGCTATTCGATATAGACAGGAGGGTCCTTTCTCCTCCTCTGGTATATATGGTTGAAATGTACATGCCATCCGTATGAGAAACCGAAGTCCTTTTCTCAGCATCGATGCTACTGACTGGCTGACGGCTACTTGAAAAGCCTGAAGTAAAAGGACAAAATGTATTAGAAAGCCAGAGCAATATGAAAGTATTTTGATGTCATATTAAAATCACTTGCTAAATACATAAAATGTTCTTGTCTGTGAACTAACTCCTGCTCTTCTAAAAATTCAGAGCACCATCCAAGCACGGGTATCAAGTTAGGAGTCCTCTGTGCTACTTAATTGATTCTAAAATCATGAACTCGGACAGACATAAGGCTCCTGTGAAACATACAGGTTTCTAAAACACCGTTCGTCCAGTATTGTTTTTCTAATGTAATTAGGCACTTATCTTTCTGTGATATTTTAAGGCAAGCTAAGTGGGAAAACCCATCTGTTCACTGTATCACTCATAATTTACAAAACTCATATCCTCTCCCTCTTATCCTCCATTCCCAGCTAAAGAATATCCATCTTCTTCAGTCAGTCTGTGTTTAGACATGGTGAACTTCATGTGTCTGCAGGATAAAATCATTACATTATGTTAATTTGCAGCTTATCGTGAACTCATTGATTGAGAAGTTTGCAGTCAAGAAATTCTACATGAGCAGCAGTCAGTTTGAAAAAAAATCAGATTATTTAGTGTAAAAAGTGCAGTCAATCTTATAATACAAATTTCAGATAAGTTTCAGATGAGTTCAGCAATCTGTAAAAATAAAGAATAGGGTGTTGAAAATTAGATTTAATTCTACAATTGACTTAGGTCACCATGAAACGCTTCTGAAAGTATCACCCAAAATAAACCAGTTCAGATGCAAAATAATAATGCGACTATCAAAACTGGACAGTTTCCCTGATCAGGTTCACAGCTTCACTTCTGGAGCAACTCCCCAGTGAGGTAGGGTCTGGCTTTGAGTCCTTTGATGAAAACATCCCCTGGAGCGAGCCCGCAAGTGGCATTGCATGTACTAATGAATGAGAACTTTGTATATATCACAGATAAATGCAGGACAATCTGAATTCCTGCCCCTTCTCAAATGTACACTGGGAGACACTAACTTACTTGTGAGATCGTTCTGGAACGAAGAATAAGTGGGTATCTTGGAAGAATGTGGGAAGAGCATCTCAGTTGCGAAGGCATCGCTGCTGGCAGAGGTGTTGGTCACCCCGCTTGGCTCCACCGATCCCGGCCAAGCTGGCCCTGGAGAGCTGGTGGTTTTGGTGTAGGAAGCGGAGCTCTCCGTCCCACCAGCCAGCGTGCCACCCGTCACCGAGCGCAGGGTCCTCTCTCCATCGCCAGCAGACGTGGACGAACTGTTGGCAGCATCAGTGATGGGGCTGGACATCCTTTCCTCAGCACTTGAGCTGCTTAAGGAGTGATGGCTGCTGCCCACGGCTGGAGTAGGATCGGAAAGGAGAGCAGAGAGCACTTGTGAGTTCTACAATAATTCTGTTTGGAAATGCAGATTAATAAAACTGCACAGGTAAACACAGATTAAATACAAATTAAATAGATCTCACATATATATGACCGGAAACATGTATTTAATGCACAAAGCCTATGCCAAAGAAACAGGACTGTGCAAACACAGAGGGACAATCGGTACCATAGAGTCAAAATGGCATATTTATGTCATTTATAACTAGCGGCCCAACTGAGGCAGGTAGTAGATGTGTCCTAGAGCAAGAAGCTACATGTCTTGCTCCTGAGACTCATTTGTTAAGTGTCAACAGATACACAACGCCAAGGAGCAGAGTCACCACTGCTTGTAAATATAGAATCACAGAATGTTCGGGGTTGGAAGGGACTTCTAGAGATCATCTAGTCCAACCCTCTCTCCCCACCTGCTAGAGCAGGATCCCCTAGGGCAGCCACACAGGAACGTGTCCAGGCGGGTTTTGAAAGTCTCCAGAGAAGCAGACTCCCACCCACGACATCTGCAACAGCTCTGACCTGTTGGTGGTCATATCAACCCCATGAAAGAGGGGAAGGGAGAGGCATTGGGGTTTTTCCTAATTCAACTGCCATCCCAGAGCTCAGAAAAACTCACTGGAAGATTCACCAGTAGCTGAGAAGTAGGTGGAGACCCTGGATGAAAGGGTGCCCTTAAGCTCTGGGTCTCCTGCTTGACTGGATGAGACATATTCTGCTCCAGGCCATGCCGTGAAGGACGGGAAGGGGACAGTGCGGGGCTCCCTGGCTGTGCCGAAGTGAGATGTGGAGCTTTCTGCTGCTGTGGTCCACGTGCCACGGCTAGCTGCAGCCTGAGATGTCCCTTCCTTGTGGCTGGAGAGCATGGTTGAGGCATATACGGTCTCAGTAGGAGCACCAGAAACTCTTGTTACCGTCTCTGGAATTGCAAAGGATATAGTTATAGATATAGATAGATATACATACAGATACAGATATAGATATAGATAAAAAATTATACTGTTTGAGGCCTCTACAGGTACTAAAATCTGAATATTTCAATCCCTGCAGCAGAGGTGGCACTTCGTGACCAACATCGCTTATTTGCTAAGTGGGATTTCCTAGAAGGTCCAGGGCCTCTCCCCTGGTTTCAAGGCTGAGGTCAAGGCTCTATGACAGTTTTCACATGTGGCCCAGAAAAGCTGCCTGGCCATCTAGTTCCCAACATAAGAATCACTGCCGAAAGTGCTGAGTTGAATAACTCACCAACCATTCAGGGCTCACATGCCCTTCCTTCACTATGAACTAGTCTTCCTAAAAAGGCAAATCTAGTTTAAAGCTAGAAAAGGGAGGATGAGCTCAGGAGGGGGTAAGGAGGAGGGATGTCCTCCACGGCAAACTGGGAAAGCACAAGACTCACCTGAAGCACTTGGTGAGGGTGAAGGCAGTGAAACACTGGGAGAAAATGCAGGCAACAGCTTTTTTGGAAGCTCACCATGTCCAGCACCACCACTCTGCGAAACACCGCTCTGCCTTCCAGGCTCCGTTGCCGATGAGGATGACACAAGGACCACATCCAAGGAACTGGTGCGGGGTGGAGCGGAGCTCCCGGCCACCCTGGATGCTGCATGAGTCTCTGACACAGGCACTGTGACCCTCTCCCCACCACTGGTGGCTATCACTGAACTGGGCATACTGGTGAGCAGAGCATCAGGCAGGCGTCCTCCAGTAGCTGAGGTCCCTTCTGCTGAGAAAGGGTAAAGTCAAACAGATTTAGAACACCCTAAGCTGTAAACAGGTGGGCGTGCTTTCTTCTACAACCACTTGTAGGCTGACAGCACAGATATAACATATCAGAAGATCCAAACCTGGAGAAAAAGCTAACAGTGAAGACACAACCCTTTCCTGTACAAGAAGGTACTGCTCACAGGAGGACACCAGGAACAAGTTCTGGGAACGATGTCAGATTAGGCTTCCCTTTGGCTGCTCCCAGGTCGCAGGTACCGCACTCCCAAGGGGAGCAAGGTGGGGTTATGGCGGCACCTAACTCCCTGGTACTCGAAACAGAGCACAGCAGGTTTGTGTGGGATCAGTAAACACTGTGTTTGCACCCCAGGGTGGGAGTCGGGAATGGCTGATGTTGCCTCCTGCTGTTATAAACACAGCTAAGGGGGCAGTCCTGGAGCTGGGCTGTCTCAGACAACACACCAAATCTCGGGACCACACTGCTCTTGCAGTAAAGGTGGGTCTTTCTGGTGACTAAATGCAAAAAACAGCTAATGCATTTTTCTTTGGAAGTTAAATTTTCCTCCGTAACACCCAGTGCCATTGGCCAGCATCTTCTAGCACGCCCTCATCTCTCCATCCAGAGCAGATGTTTGAGGTCTGCAGGAAGAAGCCTCACAGGGACAGTCAGAGCTCACCTGAGGAAGCGCTTTCCGAAGCAGGCAATGAGCCTGTGAGCAACAGGTCCGTGGATGACACGGTGACACCTCTGCCACCAGCCCCTTGGGCTCCCGAAGAGGACCGGGTATAGACTGAAGAGCTGATGGTTTCGGTACCAGTGGTGGAAATGTCTGTTGTTTGGGCCAGACTGGTGCTGGCTGGCAGCGACCTTAACGTCCTCCCTCCACCTTTGGCTGTTGTGGAAATGGAAGCACTGGTGGTAGGGAAATCAGTTCTCTCTGTCGACAGGATCCTGAAGGACACTTGGCTGCTTCCAGTAGCTAAGATAAAGAAACAATTTACCTTTTTACACATGTGGAACTATAAATAAATAGATGAGCTTTCCTCATCCAGCAGCAGCAAGTACATGCATGAGTAGAAAACACGAGATGTCAATCCAGAGAAAACAGGAAATTTCCAAAGACCTTCCAACAGAAATTTGTCTTCTAAAAACCACGGTTTGATGCCGAGAAAAGTGCTATTATATAAAAACCGCTGAACTACTAATGCTGTGCACTTGATTTTACTATTATACGCCTGAGTGCATCCCATGCTGCTAGAACAAACAAATACTGCAGCAACCCAGAAAAGCCTGGAGATTCAGACAAGGCACAATGCTGAAGTGTGAAGATCTTGGAAAAGTCTGAAGAAATGGGATCAGACCTCTTCAGCACCACAGTGGGGCCTAGGACCAAACAGCACCACGAAGGACCTCAGAGACCACACTCAAGATTTATTGAGTTAGTTCTATTTCTGGGAAGCAGCATGGTCCAAGGAGTAGGAACTGAAGTCTGGTCCCTGGGACTGCAAGGACATTATCTAATCCTCACTTGCTTAGTTCTCTTGCCTATAAGATGGAGATAGCAACTGGAGATAGTAAAAAATAATCATAATTTGAAAATTATTTTCCTTGGCATAATGAAATTTTCCACATGTGTGCCCTTTCTGCAAAAAAAAAAATCACATTTTTTGGTCAAGCAAGAGCTGAAATATTTCAGACGCTGCATCCTTCCAAACAATATATTCTGCATAGCAGAAAAGAGCCATAGTTAACAGCCCTTCTACTTGCAAGAAAAGTGGTATTTCACTTCTAACTTGAGCTCACCTGCAGAATGACCTTCCGAAGGAGAGTGAGAGCCTGTTAGTGAAGGGTCTGCCTGTTCAGTGAAATCCGTGATTTCTCCGGACCCATGAACTCCATAGGTCTCTCTCCCAGAATACGCAGACGAGGATCGCATCACGACCGTGTTCCTGGATGTGCCACTGCTGGACGTGGAGATTTCTGCTGCCCATCGGCTGCTGCCCGTGGCAGACCTCGGGGGCCTCCCACCGCTGCCGGTGGCCGTGGCTGAAACGAAAGTGCTGGTGGGAGAGGAAGCAAGGGTTTTTTTCTCTGTCGTTGAGCTGTTAATGGGTTGGTGGCTGCTTCTGATGCCTAAGACACAATAAAACCAGGTTTGATTTATGCATATAGAGCTGTACATTTGAGCGATGGTTTGTACTGCGTACATTTCTGTGCTGTTCGTTGAGAAATCAAACAGACCAAGTTCTCAGGCTGGAAAAGGGAGGAGGTGAATCCCTTATGTTGGAGCACATGTGGCTTAGGAAAAGCCATGAAAATCTCACTTTAAACTCGTGGGTTTTGTAGCTTGTGCACAATATCCAATTTACGCATTTAAACTGCCTTCAAGTCCGTTTGAGTCAGGAGTATTCACCTCTGACTTCAACCAGATCTAGAAGATGAGCTAAAACAGGCCTGGTTTAGGTTTTCTAGTGACAGTCCAGAGAGCCAAGCTGCCATCGCAGCACTAGGCTGACAGCACAGCCATGGGGCTGAGCCCCACACAGCACTGGGAACCTGGGGCCATGTAGGGCAGGACACAGTCTCACCCAAAAGATGCTCAGAACCATCCCAGCACCCCAGCCTGGTGTTCGACCCAGCCTGATTTCCCCCATGTTGAGCAGGTGTGCTGCCCCAGGGCCATCCCAAACCACGGTGCTGGGGACGCCGATAGGTCACCAGGTCAGCAGGAGCAGGGACTTGCAAAGCGAGGGGCTGAATTGAGAATTAATGGTGAACGGTGGGGGAGAGCTCACTCAGGACCACTCCAGGGGCATGGGGCAAGTCAGACTCCCCCAAATATCACCTCTCTTACAGATCAGCCCATACGGCAGACACAGCGCCAGGCGACGGCTGCGAATTCCCAGCAAAAGCATCTCCACCAGGGAAAAACTTCATGCCCGTGTTTCTAACGGAGGGCTGCTTTTCCCAGCATGCGAGTTACATTAGCAATGAGGACACTAACGTTTTTCACTTTTTCACCCAAAAGTTGAGATTCACTCCTGCCCTTTCCACCAGCTTCCCTGACCCCCAATGCAGCCAGTAATAAGAATGTCCATGTATCCAACAGCGACTCATGGCCGTATCTGAAGAAAAACAGTGCAGGGATGCAAAATCCCATTTGGCTCCAAAGCAGCCAACTTTCAGAA